AGAAAAAGAAAAAGAAAAAAGAAAAGAAAAGAAAAAGAAAAAAGAAAAAAGAAAATTCCTACCAAATTCATGATCATATTCTCCCTCTGACGTAAACCAGAATTCTTTTAGATCACAAAAGGTCGTTGGATCGATCCCCCACCGGCTTCCATGCGCAGGAATGAAGAAGATGATGGAAGATGATGATCATCAAAAGGAGAATTCAAAGATCATCTTTCCAATTCTGATTCGGATTTTGCCGTACTTTTCATCTATCTTCTTTTGATATACGGTTGAGAGATTGAAAACCATATATAAATGTCTTTGGTGGATCCATCGACTGGACGTGCATTCATATGGATCATCACCGTGTTTCTCTTTTTCTGCATTCTCTCCGGTGGCGGTTGCCTTGTGATGTACATGATCCTACCTGAGACCGAAACCACCGCGTGGTTGCCGATGGTCGGCCTCTCCTTAGTCTGCCTTCCTTGGTTTTTCTGGATCTTAACTTTCTTCTACAGGGTCATATCGCGTGCTTGCGGTTTTAGGGTCTCCCTCGGCGTTGGGGTGGTCGACGGAGGCGCAGGGGTTGCCAATGCATCATCGGAATCCCCTCRAGGACCGGGTATCGATAATGATGATGAGGATGGCCATGGTGGTCTTGGTGATCAAAAGCGAAACAGTACTTCATCCTCCCGCAACTCAGCAGTATCTCGTGAAAGCGAAATGCCATTGGCCATAACAATGGCATCTTAAAGCTAAGCTAGCTAGGCATTGCAAAAACTTGGCTCCCAATTGAAGATTTGGYCATGGAGGAAGAATTAGTCAGAATGAAATCTCCCAACTAGAATTTCGAATTTCCTCCTGCTTGAAATGGAATACAACACATGCATTCTACCGAAAAATGAATGTTGATCTTTCACGAGTGTATATATTGATAGAAATGTTGTTTATGTACATCGGTCTGAATCCAATTCTGCTCCTTAATCAATCACCCTTCGGATATAGATAGATGGTCAATGATTTTAATTTATCTATCTTCAACTCCCTGTAATAGTGGAAATTGACTCGGTTTTACTAGTACAAAGAAAAGTTTAGTTTAGGTTGGGTCGGTTGGGTTAGGGAATACATTATACTCGTCATGTTATTAAAGTAGTAGTGTACGTTAAAGTATCTATATAAAAAAAATTAAATTTATTGCATGGATTCACTATGTTAAATCGCTTTTAGGTTCAATGTTGATTTGAGATCTTGTGTCTGAACCCTGATGTAACAGTGTATATTGAGAGTCGAGAGTTAATTGTCTTGAAAAGGGCAAAAAGAAAAAAAAATAGTCAAGTAAGAAAAGAGAACTTGAACTACCTATCATATTTGCTGCAAAAAATTTTCATTACATATTTGATAATTCAAATCTTATCAGACTCTTGAGCTTCATCCACAAAATATCATCCAAAACAAGGTTGTTTCTGTATTTATTGCTAAAAAATAAGAATAGAGTAATCAAATGTTGTATAATTTTACCTAAAACTTGTCAATAACCAGTTAATGCATGGTTTTTCATGAGATTTAACAAAAGCTAGAAATATTCCTCTAATAGCTCTGTCATTAATCAATGAAAAGAACTTTGATTCTGTAATGGGTGAGGGGGGCTGATGCCATGGTTTCTGTTAAAAGAAAAAAAAATAAGAGAATGGTTGCCAAAAGCAGGCACCCAAAAGAAGAAGAAAACCGAACAACCGCGGAGTTGAYGGTCGGACATTTAAACTTACACCCTACAAAGAGAGGTACAATTGCGAATTGCCTAATCACTTAAACTATATTCAGGTTGGACTAGGGTTCTTGTATTGAACCATGTCAATGGGAAACTATCAGCAGCAGCTAGAAGTAAGAACAAGTTGGGAAATCTTCCAATCTTTGTAATACAGACACTCAAACTTCAACAAAGGTTGTTGACAAATCATAGTACTATAATATAACAATCTTTTGTCTCCTAAGTTTACATTTCACAATTGATTTTGAACTTGAACCGAGCTCTCCTTTTTCTTCCTTCTTCTTTGGGATAAGAAGAAACAAAGTTTTCATTCATTTGATGGGAAATACAACAGAAGAAGGGGAAAATGCCTATCAAAGGAGCTCATAGAAAAACTGCTCCAAGAGTGATCTTGAACTTATTTTATCACCTCCAGCATACAAAACAATGTCAAAAGCTACCTTTAAAGATGTTGCTCTAATTGCTGACACGAGCCCAGCTCAACTAATCAAGAAATTACTTACYTTGAGAGATAAGGTATTTGAATCCTACACCCGGGTTGAACTTTAAAAAAATGCCACTCTAATTTTAACTACAGAGGTCTCACATATTCAACATTTCAGGAAAATGCTTATAGCCCGAACAAAAACTACTAGTCAGAAAGGCATGAAATCTAACTATTCTCTCAGTTCTAAAATCAMCACACATTGGAATTCTCAAAACCTGTGTGGGGGCAGGGGAACATGAAGAAACTATGCTCAAAACCTGGCTACTCCTTGGAAGAAGGCTGTTTTACAGATGGTGGATCTTTCTCTACYGATGCGACCGAACTGGCCGATTGTTCGGCTTCGTAACGCCGACGGAGCTTCTCTTGTAGCGMACGTACTCTGTCCTCGGTCTTGCGCAGCTTCCTCCATCTATAGCCAGTCCAAAGAGCAAAACCACCATAGACAACAATGTATGAGCCCCACACATAAGGATATGTTTCTGCATTCTCTTTGATTTCCCTGTACTTCTGTTCCAATTTACCCATAAACCCAGAGGAAGTGGCAGGAGTAGTTACCTCATCTTCTTCCTTTTTCGGAGTTTCCATTGCCCCCCTTCTGTTCTCCCACTAACCAGTACAATGAAGAGCTTACTAGTTGCTCAGTTATCTAAAAGCTGTAATAAAACCAAGTAACAATCAAAATCAATCAAAATTAAAGCTCTCAACAAAAGCTCCAGAAAGGGAATTATTCTCATCTCTCTATATGAAAGCTGTGCTAAATTTGAAGTGATCGCATGATAAGGAGAAAGACATAGGAGCTAATTGAAGGGGAAATTAGCTACGAAGTACAGAAGATAAAGTTGAATGTTAACGGATTCCCATCTGATCAATCGGAAAATAAGGGGAAGAAGAATACCCGAGGATGAGAAAGGCGCGACGACGGCTTTGAGCCTGGAAGCTGCAACACCGGCCGGCGGCTAACTGATGAGTATGAGAGGGGCGGCGGGCGGCGGGCGGTGGATTAAGGAGGGCTGAAGATTGAATCAAGACGGAGGAAGAGGAGGGGAGGGAGAGAGAGGAAATGAAATTGGAAGAAATTAGGGCAAACTGGGGAGAAATATTGTAGTAATTCAAAGAAATAGAGTTCTAATTTAATTTGGGAAAATTACCTTTTCGGGTGAGTGTCTCGATTTTGAGGTTAATTTGTATTTGATCTCTAAATTTTAAAATATTATATTTTTACGGTTACATTTTGAGTTTATTTTTCCTTTGGTTCTAAATTTTTAGATTCAGTTTTCGTCTGGTACTAGATCTCAAAATGTTATCATTTTATTCACGAGTTCCGAGTTTARTTTTTATTTGACTCCTAAATTTCAAAATATTAACAGTTCTATCGTTGAGTTCACTTCTGTTAATCATTAATAATCTTAATGATTCGCAAACTCAAATGTTAATCGGTCCATTTAAAAATATTTCAATAAATGATGTGGCAATAAAAATATATTCTATCTAACCCGTCTAATGAAATATTGACTAAGATTTTTTATTATATTTTCTGGTATTATATTTTCTACCAGATCGCCTATTGAAATATTATAAAAATAAATATTTTATTGCGTAAGGATATTGATAATATTAATTAATATTAAATAGATCCATCGACGTCTTCATTAACATTTTGTTAATGGTTTTGTTTTGTTAGGGACCAAAAGTAAGTATTAATGAAAWTTTAGGGGTAAAAGTATGAACATTTTGGAATCTAGGGACCAAATAGAAATTAAATTCAAAACTAAGAGTAAAAGTGTAACATTTGAAACTTAGGAACCCAAATGCCAGTCTCATCATTGGGCCAACGGTCGGCCCAGCCCAAAGAAATAAGGGCCCAAACCCTACGGGCCTAAGTATTGTTTGGGTTGGGTTTGGGCTGGCCCAACCACTCAAACCTAGACTYATAGCCCAATCCATGGGCCTAAGTTGATAAGCCAAAATTAGATCGAGCTTGGATCGGCCCGTATATTAATATAGTTTTTATTGTTAAATTTTAAATTTTAAATAATTTCCAAACTAGGTTTTTTTTTTAATTCTAGAATATGTATTTTTATATAATTTTTGGTACATTTTTTTTGTTATTTTTTAAACTTGAAACAGAAATAATTTGAGATGAACAGAGGTTAAATACAACAAAAATTGAAAACTTAAACACTTTGAATTGGAACTTGAGAGAATTTGAGATTGAGAATTAGAAAGAAATTGAGATTGAGAAGTAGAATTTGAGTGAAGAAAAAAGGGAGAATGTTGATATTTATAACAAAATTTTGTATTAAAAATTTTAAAAAATTACAACCTAAATATTATATATTTTAAAATAATTTTAAATTTTGAATTTTAAAATATCARGAACCTTTTTAAAACAAAGATTTAAATAAAATATTGGGAAGCGGGAGAGTTTATCCATTTTCAAAACAAAGATTTAAATTAGATATTGCTAAAGTGGAAAGTTTGTTCCTAACATGTTTCTATTTAATAGGGTGGAAACCAAGTTGTTTCATGTCAGCTTACATATTATTTATTTAAAAAATAAATAATATATTAATAAATATTAGATTGGACCTTTGGGCCGACTCAATGGGTCGATCCAAATATGGCCCAAACGGGCCAGCCCAATTTGAAAAACAAAGATCCATATTCAATCTAATTTATGGATGGCCTGGACTGGACCGGACCGATCAAACGTTAACCTTGGGCCGGCTTTGGATCGATCCTGGACTGGGCTTGGGTCGACCTTTAGAATTTGAGCCCAATGATGAGGCTGACCCAAATGGAATCTAAACTCAAATTTTAGTGGTAAAGTATAACATTTTGAACCATAGAGATCAAATAAAAACTAAACTAAAAATTCAAGAACAAAAACGTATTCTACCCATTTTAGTATCATCATATTTTATCTCATAAAAATAACCATCTTTAAGAGCGTAGATTTGAACCAATTTTCCTTTTTTAAAAAAGGAAAAAGACTTTTGAACCAATTTTTCCCCAAATATTGTTAAATAATAATAATAAAAAAAAGAACTCAAAAGAGTTATTAAATTAAATAAAATTAAAAGATATATACATACCTACGTTAAATTGTAAAGTCCAATCTTTCAAAATTGCGCTCATAAGTTTTTTGAATTTTTAGAAGTSTCAATTACTTAATTGTACCAAATAGATTTTTTTAAGTTTAAAATTTTCAATTTTGTATTTCATAGGCTCATAACTTTATAATGTTGTGTGCATATCTTCAGTAGCTTGAACAATGTATTCTAAAACAATCGGTTGTTTGAATTCTCACTTCATCCCATTCAAGTATTTATTATACACAAAATTTGTAACTTCGGAGAAATAATTATATTATAGATTGAAATTAGTAAAATGAGTTTTTAAAATGAAAATATGTGGTTGGATTCAGAAGCTTAAACTAACCAAATTACTATAAAATTTATTAAAATATTTGGAATTTTTATTACTTTTTGGTTTTTTTTTCTAATAATTGATTTTTATTTAATAAAAAAATAATAAAGGGAGGGAA